CAGGTGGAGGTGCCATCTGGGGCATCTGAGGACCCATATAACCTGGCAACATAAAAGACGAGGTAAATATAAAATTCTCTAGAAGCAGAATACCATTCAGATAGGCCAGACTAAGAGCATGTTTGGCTAAGCTTAAAAGTTAACTTATCTAAGTAATTTTTAAAATAAATAACGATTTTATTAGTCAAAGTTGAAAATAAGTTATTTAGCCCCCGTTTGACAAAATTTATAAATCATCTATAGATGATCTAACATCATTTTGAACCAAAGTACTATCTACTTATCCATCATTCATATCTATCTATTTATACTGAAATGCACCTCTTACTTCTTTTTAATCTTAGCCAAACATGCTCTAAAGGATATCTATTAGCTAATGATACCATAACAATTCCTACATCGATTATAAGTCCCAGATCATGCAGTGTTTTGCTAATCTAAATCCTAAGACACATAGATAATCTAGAAGACTAGAACTCGCCAAATGCCTTATCTTCCTGGGACATTTGCCTGAATCTAATATCAGCAGGGCAAAGCAACAAAGGAAGTAAAATTTAAGGGAAAAGACTGGCATCACGTCGAGACCCTTCACATACCTGGAGCTCCAGGCATGGGCCTTGGCAAAACTGGAGGCCTAAATCCTGGAAACTGCGCACCTGGAATAGGCATTGGTGTGGGTAGAATTGATAGACCAGGTCTCATCTGAGGGTATGGAGCAACAGGAGGCCTAAACGCCCCAAGATGTTCCTTGACTTTTTGATCAATCAAACTTTGGTTCAATTGTGCCTCATACTGTTGATAATAAGTTCTCACATTTGCCTACTCAGTCAACAGAGAAATGTATAAAATGACATTTACATAACCCTTCAAGCAAGAAATAATACGAAGTTGCAGGCAGGTGGAAGTTAAAAGAGAAAATACCTTATGTTTGTATCCAGCATTATGTTGTTTTCTAACAGAAGGCTGTAATTACCCCCAAAAAAATTCAAATATAAGCAATTTCGAAGTTAAGACATCACAACACTAATATCAAATAAATACTAGAAGTGTGAGGCGTGATAAATAACCAAGAGGAGAAAGAAAAGGGGTATAAAACTAACTTATTTTTTTTAATGCTTGAAAAACCAATTCATGAGAAATAATGACAGAAAAAAATGAATGGAGAACAGTTTTTAATACAACAACAATGGTAGAAAATTTAAGCATTATTGGAGCAAGAGCATCACTATCTCGTTTCTTCTTCTGTGGATAAATTATGAATATCAGGGACTCATTAAGAAGAAACTCTTTGTTTGAACATTTGCAAGAGAAAATAAAAACAATTTACAGAAGGATGATGACTCACGGAATCATGTGTCAAGTAAGTGTCGCAATAATCACAATAATACCTGAAGACATAAACAAATAAAATAAACAATTGAAATAAAATGGACACTAAATTCAGAGAGAGAGGGAGGGAGGTACCTGGGCATTGTCTGATACGAAGAACTTCGTTAACGACCTGAGTAAGACCAAAACCAAAAAAAATCATACACCAAAAGGAAGAACAAAACCCTAGATTGCATGAAACATAACAACAAATTCCTACATTCACTAATCATACATAACTCAACCAGGCCTTACAGGTACTTGAGATTTTAAGACATGAGTCGAACTTTTTAAGTTGGGCCCTAAGTAGTTGTCTTTCTTTCAGCCAATCCCAGGAAATAAGCTCAAAAAATTGAAGGGTCCCTTCACTTTTTTGTCTTTTTATTGTTTTTGTTTGACATGCCCAACTAAGACAAATCTTTGTCAAATATTATGAGAAGGAAGAACAAAACCCTAGATTGCATGAAACATAACAACAAATTCCTACATTCACTAATCATACATAACTCAACCAGGGCCTTACAGGTACTTGAGATTTTAAGACATGGGTCGAACTTTTTAAGTTGGGCCCTA